TGAGACAAGTCCGTAGTGCAGTTCCTCACACTTGTTCACATCTGAAAGCAGCTGCATAATACACTACAGTTGCTTGGCTTTGCTGAGTGGGCATTCTGGACCTGGTGTTAGATCACAGCTGACTCCAATTTGGCATGATCCTAGCTGTTTTACAAGACTGAATTCTGAATTTTCTTAAGTTCTAAGCTTTTTCAGCTGTGTGATTTTGTCAAAAGAATGAGGACTACGGTGTCACCAGATAACCTATGACCCAAGGTGTTCTCTTCATGGACATGGCTGTACTTTTTTTTTTTAAAAAAAAGGGGAGGGCAGAGGGAAGACATAAATGGCAACAGTACATTGAATATTTGTACTTGGTCTGTGCCTGGCAAAACAATGATTGCTTGCTGATTATCTTTAGCATACTCTTATACCCACATAGTAATAAAATGAAGATTAGGATCTTAAAATTGTATTGCTTCATATTTCTCTCTTTAAGGTGGGAAGAAGAGCGCTACCCTGAAGGCATTAAATGGAAGTTCCTAGAGCACAAAGGTCCTGTATTTGCTCCACCATATGAACCTCTGCCTGAAAATGTCAAGTTTTATTATGATGGTGAGTTAATCTGTGTTTCCATTAGCTGGGAAGAGAAATAAATGTTCTCGGGGTATTGTGGGGTTCTTCCTGGGACTGAAGAGATGAAGAGGTGGTTTGGTTTTAGTGGTTAGTTTAAAAGAAGTTCCTCAACGACTAAGTGAAGGAACAATCTGTGGAAGTAAAGGAACAGGGTGCTGAATTCTGCTAACCAAGTTGACACGGAGATGAACTTGTTCTCACTCTGTTACGGTGGTAAATCTCTCAGGCTCCTTAACAGTATGAGAGTGTCTTATGCCTAAGAGTAGCAGTGTATAATAAGTAGAATACATAATTATAATGAATACATAATTATAACTACTTCATCCCTGGTCAACTTTAGGCTTGCTCTGTTCTCTTTAACCTTATGAATTCCAACTTCCATCATCTGTGATGAAATTCATGCTCATTTGGTGGCATCGTTGGAATAAAAGACAAATGAGTTTTGATACAGATGATTAGAATCTTGTAGGCATGCATGGGATGGCCCTGGCCTCAAGGCCACAGCCCTCTGTTGAAAGTCGTGGTCCCACTCACTAACCATTGTGTGTGGTAGAACTAATTGATGTGGGATTCTAATATGCTGGGCTGACTGGTTGTTAGAGACTCACGTGGAAGGGATTATATGATGTGGTGCCTGCTGGAGACCAAACTTGATGACCCGTGTGTTTCCTTTTAGTCCTGTGATCATGTTAAATGAAGGATCAAATTAACCCAGGATTGAATTAAGTGGGAGGCATTTGAATGGATGAAAACACAATTTTTGGTGAAGGGGACATCTGCACATGGAACTCTTCCAGGAGCAACGTGCTGTTTTCATGTGACATGACACAGTGTTTTTTAAATACTGAGAAATAGGTGGCGTTCATTTTCAGCAGTAATCTAGTGAAATAAAAATAATGCATCCTATTAAAGGCTATCTCCAAGCAAGTAGCACAGTGATCAGGGATGTCTGCAGATTTCTTTCTTAGGGCTTGATAAGAAGTTGATACAAAGTTGGAATTTTATTTCCTCTGTTGAAGAATGTGTGATATCTCTCCTGGTGTTTAGAGAAGGAGAGAAGGGCAAATTGCTGTATAGCTATCCCATCAGTGCAGGTAGCAATAAACTCCTCTTCTATCTAGCCATCTATTTCACAAAACCTCTTGGAATTGCAGGTATTTTTGCAGCATCTGTCTCTGTCATGGCAGAAATTCATCAATAGGCTCAACAGTTACAGAGTGGTCAGGGTGGCTCTGGCAAATAAAGCAATCACATAAGTCTTCCTTGAGAAACGAGGCAAAAAATCAGATGTCTGATTTACACAGCAGCTGCTGAGAGCTGCTTTCTGTGCTCACAAGGCATTGTCTAATTTCAAGATTATCCTAGGATGATTTGTAGAGTCCAATAATCACGCTGTGACTGGCCAGCCAGCTGCCAGGCTGCAGGCTCTCACTGAAGGAATCGTCCCTTGCCTAGTGATTGCATTGCGGTGAGGCTGCCTGTTTTCATCTAACACAATGACTGCTGGAGCTATTGTTAGTGCTTACAATGCCAGACTTGGTGAAGGAGCTTGAAATGCCAAAACCATCTTTTAGGGCTTGAGTGTATGTTTGAGTGACTGTGGGTTAACAAGCTACTGCTCATACCCTTGAGGTGGCTTGAACTTGCATTGTGTTCTGTAGATGGGGCAAGTTAGGAGAGTAAATGGTGGCAGTTGTGTTTCAGTCTCTTCTGCTCATTATGTCCCCTCGTTGCTTTCTGTTTTTCAAGTTTTAAGTCAAGTAACTAATATTTCCAACTCTGCAATAAATCTCTTTTCTTAAATTTTTTTTCTTTTCCAGCCGTGTCACTGAAAACCTTCTCAAACCTTTGTAAAAAAGAGGAAATTGAGTGCAATGAAATATATTCTAAAGTAATTAGATAAAGGTGACTGAGCCTTCAGCAATTTGGGAAGAATATCAGTCATTTTAGCCCCATAACGTCTTACTGACTTGATAGCTTCTTTTAAGTTAGACTTGCAGCCTGGAAAAACAGTTTCCCTTGCTGTCTCTCCCTTCCCCCATTTCCTGTTACAAGCAAACAAATGCTGTATTTTAGGTTGCAGCTTAAAAATTGGCAGAGTTACTGTTGGTTTACTTTAATTGTGGAATATTCTCAGATCACTGGGAGGACTTTTTGCTAAGTCCTCTGTTTTATGAGGGTTTATAGCTCTTAAGGCTTTATAGATGACTCCCATGGTTTAATTTTGGAGATGATGCAACTTTTAAAAATATGTAGTAAATCAAAAGTGTGGTATTTTTTTCCAAGAGCATAGAATAAAGACTAGTGTTTCTTGTATTGACTTTTGTGCAGTAAAATGGTCATTAAAAAAATCCACAGGTGTTGACTGTCTGCCAGCCCATTGGGACTTTAAACATTTCTTGCAACTAGCTGGAGATGTGAGCTGCATGCAAAATCCTTTACAGGGATCACTGGCACTTCACGTGCCACGGGGAATGCAATCTGGACCAAAAAGACACTCGATAGGAACGCTAGACGTCGAATCTACAGCTGTGATGCTGCAGTAGCCTCTTTTCCCTTGTGTTTTAAATGCTTCCCTTGCAGCAATTTCACTTGGTACTGCAGTCTTGCAGATAAGCTGAAATGTGACCTCTCCGTTCACTGAAAGCTCAGTCTTTCTTAAAAATTATTAGTTTTTTGAGCCTGATGTGGAGCCACAGGAGTGTGTTCCCACAGCAAAGGGAACGATTCGCAGAATCCTGACACGTTTCTCTGCCATGAAGGGGAGTGAAGTATTTGGCACTGCTTTCCAGCCTGTTTGTGCTGTATACATAGGAAGGGCTCTTCCTGGCTAGAAATAGCTAAAGGCTAGAAGGGGTGTTCCAAAGCAGAGTCCCTCTGTGGGCAGAAGATTAATACAGAGACTGTATTTCCCATATGTCCAAGTGCCTGAATATGAAATTTAATAAAATCTCTTGCCTTTTTCACTTCAAACAGCAGGAGCTATCTCCACAGGAGCGTACACATTGCTGGGGTGTCTCAGCATAGGGTTTCCTGCAGGAGGCCTTTTCCCCTTCCTGCCCTGCATCTCTCAGACCTGTCTCACATCAGATTGCTATTGCTTTTTTTTTTTTTTAATGTTTGGATTCCAGAGGAAACTTTTTTTCAAAATGTTTACGATGAAAGTCAAGCAATTGTGCTCCTTTGTTTCCTTTGTCTGTCCAATTTGCTGTACTATGTAACATTATTAAGAAGAACTGCTCTGTGGTAAAAACACAGTGTCCTTCAAGGTAATTACTATGGCCTCTTTCTGACTTCAATTCCTGTTTACCATTTTCTTTAACAAGAAAACCTTTCTTTGTAGGTAAAGTCATGAAGCTGAGCACCAAAGCAGAAGAAGTTGCCACGTTCTTTGCAAAAATGCTTGATCACGAGTACACTACAAAGGAAATCTTCAGGAAAAACTTTTTTAAAGACTGGAGGAAGGTATGTATGTAGTCCTGGGCTGCAATGACTGCAGGCAGGGCTGGGATCTCCTCAGTGAAAAGGGGCTACTGTTCCATGCACAGGAAAGTTAGCTTGAGGCGACTAAAACCTGCCTCAGATCGTAGCTGTGAAGTTTCCAGTTTATCCTGTAGTTTCACCAGGAAGGTCCCTATCAGAAATACCTTTCTAAACCAACTAATTCAGACTTCTCCCAACCAAATTTGCCTGTTAATAGCATGGTGGGGTGTAGCTGACCTGTTAAATGCCTTGGTGAAGAGCCAGCTTTATATTAGAAGGAAACCCCTTCCTAAGACCTAAAACTCAGAACTTCAGCTCAGTCATCAGCCATAAGATCAAAGCATTAGACCAGCTGATGCAGTTTTCCTAGGTGGGTTACTGGATTTTTCTCCTTATCCCTCAACAGTCCTAGCTACTGTTCAGTGTGAGAGCACTGTGGGAGGTGGGACAGCACCCAGTGCTCACAGAGATCAGACTGCTGGAAGGCCAGCACTCCATACATTCTGCTTCTTGTCCTTTTCTCTTTGACTTTAACTGGAGTGAGCGAGTGCAAGGATTTGGGGATTCTTGGGATTTATTGTGAGAACCTGTCTGTTGTTCCTGTTTAAACTGCGTGGGGTAGGGTATGTTCTACTATGTATGAAAACTTAAGTGCTGCTTTCTTTCTGCAAGGAAATGACCTCTGAAGAGAAGAGCACTATCACCAACCTCAGCAAGTGTGACTTCACCCACATGAGCCAGTATTTCAAAGCTCAGTCAGAAGCTAGGAAACAGATGTCCAAGGAGGAGAAACAGGTACCAGAGGGAATTCTAGGAGACTTCTTGATGCTTTGGCTTGTAAACATCTTTGTGTAATCATTCCTCTGCCTGCCTTGCCATTTATAAGTCAGTGTTTACTAGCTTTCAAATTATTACTTTTGTGTTAAGTGTAGGAATCTGCTGTGCAGCTCAGGTAAGGCAAAGCAATGTGTTTACAGCCCAGTCTTCATCCTGACTTAAAATGATATTGATAGTGCTAAGGCTCCTGATCCTGCTTAAGTAAATAAAGAGAATCTGAGGCGCTGTGTCCATGGGAGCCTTCGTCCCTGGCCAATAATGAGCAGTGGATACTCAGTTAAGGACAGATTTTCACTTTAGAAGTTTCTTGGGTTTGGAGGGTAAAATTTGGGATAGTGGAAGGGATGTGGCAATTGCATTAGTAAATAAAATGAGAGAACAAATCTTAAATATCAAGTAAAAAAAAAACAAAAAACAACAAACCCACAAAAAACCACAACTTTATTTTTCAGTAGCATGACTACAGTGGCTTGTGGGGAGAGAATTAAATAGCTTTTAGATGACAGACTTACTGCAATGGAAGTTGGAAACTTACCCCAAATTCTTGATTGATCTTTTACAATGCTACAATAATTGTCCTTTGAGGGGCCTGGTAGCTTGAAAGTATGGCCTTTGAGGTCATAGAGGTCCCACCAAAATAGAGAGCCCATGTCTTATTGTTGTTTCCATTTAACATGGGTGAGCCCTTCTTGGTTCCCATCCATGGTGGCTGTTACAATGGAGCAGAAGTGGCTTCTTCTGTTAGTTTCTCAGCTGGCCCACCAGTGCTGTCTGTGGGTCAGATGTTTTATATTGAGCTGCAATATTTTTATTTTTCCTTCTGTATAATTAGAGTTCAAGCACAGAAGTACACAGTGAAATCTCAGCACATTTTTACTTAGGAGACGCTGTTCTGCTTATGAAACCATTTGCTGACGCAGGCTTGACATGCAGCAGACTGGAGACATTCCTTTGCTTGCTTTCTGATGCAGAGTTCAGATGTAGAAGTCTGAGGTTTTTATACCTAAACAACAAAATGTGAAGTCTGGTGGATGTCAAATGCTGAATATAGCATATATTAAAAAGTACTGTGCTGGGGCTGCCCTTGTAGCTGTGGTGTGCAGATAGAGGTGAATGCCTCTACTGTAGCAAAATCATAGCTGTCTTCACAGCCCTAATCTGCTTCCCTCAAATACAAGTTTTAAGAGAGTTTTCACACGTTATTTCCCTTTTTCCAGTTTGTTTGTGCCACTTGCATTTTATGAATCCTTTTCTGGACAGTCTGCTGCACTGTGTGTTGACAGAACATTTGACATGATGGGTCTCTGGTTTTGAGTTGAGTCTTCAGCATTAGTGTGGTTCAAATGTCAACATTTTTAAAGTCTTGGCATTTAGAGATGTGTGGTGCTTATTTTATCATCTTTGCTTTTGACTTTTTCCAGAAAATCAAAGAGGAGAACGAGCGGCTATTGAAGGAATATGGTTACTGTGTGATGGACAACCACAAGGAGAGGATTGCCAACTTTAAGATTGAACCCCCAGGTCTCTTCCGAGGCCGTGGGAACCATCCCAAAATGGGCATGTTGAAGAGACGCATCATGCCAGAAGACATCATCATTAACTGCAGCAAGTGAGCACTGGATGTTTTGTACCTTGGCTTTGTGAAATAGCTTCTTTTTCAAAAAATCCTGTATAGGTTGATACTCAAGCATGTAGAAATACGCATGTTGCTTATCTTATTCTTATATGGGTAGGAAACTGAGTCATACAAAGACTGAACGAGGCTATCATGGGTTTCATGTAGAACTTCGTCAACATCTTTTCTTCCTCATGCCTACAGCCTACATCTGCTTAAACAGTCTTTCCTGATAGTATTGCCTGAAATGTTGCCCTGTTTCTGCCTTTCATTGATGTCAAAGGCTAAGGTTTGGTGGGTCTCTCTTCAATCTTGTCCTGATAAGTGTCCACACTATTGCTGTGTCCACAAATCCAAGCTAATCCTGACAGTGTGCATTCCTATCTGTAGTTTAATTCCTCAGCAGAAACGTATTGATAGCAGTTACATTTCTGATCTTTGGCTGTTCACTTCAATTCACTTGATTTCCTGCCTGTGGAAATGTGGAGTTATGTTGTTTCAGTTTGTTCCCTGTGCTTTCTTCATGTGATGATATTCATTACTTTCTCTATTTTGATGCTGTGGTAGTCTCTTTAAATAATTTTTATTTGCTGTTTTGTAATTCTCTGCAGAGATTCCAAGATCCCTTCCCCACCACCAGGACACAAATGGAAGGAGGTTCGTCATGATAACAAGGTTACCTGGCTGGTGTCATGGACTGAGAACATCCAAGGCTCTATCAAATACATCATGTTGAACCCTAGCTCAAGAATTAAGGTAAAGATCTAGTTTAAAAAAAACAACAAAAAAAAATGTTACTGGTAATGTCTCCAGGAAGCAAATGTAGCTGTTGGCTGGGGGAGAGATAGGAAGTAAAGCTGTCTTGCTATTTCATCCTACACAGACTGAAAAACATAGGAAAGTTGCTGTTCTGTTCTCCTTAAAAAGAAGGAACGCATTTGCTGCAGAGGAGAGCAGATGCAATATGGAAAATATCTATTTAAAAAATCATCATTGTGTCATTCCTAGTAGGAATCCTTTACTCTGTGTAAACCTAAAAGGAATAATTTATCCAAGAACAGCCTTGTTCTGGTGGATATTTTATCTACTTTTGTCCCTAACTTCCCCTGCCTGATTATGTAGTGAAGTTCTAACCATGGGTTGCTAATTAGACAGTTGTGAAATTAAAAACATGGCTAGGCTACTGGCTGAGAAGCCTGGTAAGGAGCTCACGACTGAAAGAAAACAAACCCTGCTGTGCAAGCAAATAATCAGTCAATGCATCAGTTCCATAAGATCAATTATAAACCTGGTGAAAGATAAGAAGCCTTCAGTTTTGAGGGTCAGATTTAAGTTCTTCTCATTAAGTCTTTTTTTAAGATATTTTTTCCTGGCTTGGAAACAAGGAGTTAGTCCTACAAGTATCAGGAAAAATCTCTGTTCCTTGCAAATTCATGCCCTGTTTTTGCCGTGGCTTGAATATATAATAATGATGATGAACTGTTGATGATGCTTTTACATTTTATGGGTGTTTAATTACACAGCTTAAAGAACGTAAGTATCATCTGAATAAAGCAGAGGAAACCATTTGTATGTTGAGAACCATGGAAGACAGTATCTTTTCTGTCTTTATTATGGTTACTTCCATGGAAGCATTTAATATCATGCAAATCTGAATTACCTACAGCTGCGTGGCAGAATAGTTTGAAGCTGAGCTGTTCAGCGGCAAAATCTCAGTGCTTTTGTACAGTGAGACCGTTTGCGACACGCAGACTTGCAAAACCTTGAGATGCAGATTGGGACTGGTCCTTTGCCTGCTTTCTGATGCTGATTCTATTCTCATTTTCTCTGCAGGGTGAGAAGGACTGGCAGAAGTATGAGACAGCTCGGAGGTTGAAGAAATGTGTAGATAAAATCCGAAATCAGTATCGAGAAGACTGGAAATCCAAAGAGATGAAAGTACGGCAGAGGGCTGTGGCGCTGTACTTCATCGATAAGGTAAGGCTCGTTCCACAGCACCTTCCTCTTACCTTTCCCATCCTGCTGGGCATACTCAGGAGTGCTCTGTGTCTGTTCACACAATTGAGCCCAGTTAATAAGGTATCCTGAGACTTCCTGATAGGCAGGCTCCCTTTTCCTTCCCATTACCTGGAATCCAGAGCAATAAACTATTGTGCTGAACACGGCTATTTCAGGCAGCATTGTTTTAGTTAAGGCAAAATTCACAGCCTGGTTCCAGAATCACCCAGTTCTATTACTGGGAAGTTTGTGTGGGCCTTTTGTCTCCAGCTGTTTCAGTTTTCCTGCTGGGAATTTCTGCTGGTTTGTCACCTCTTTAGTTTGAGGTCACAGTTATGAGGTTTCATAATTATGGTAATTTTTCTCACCACAGCATAAAGAAATCTGCAGTTGTATTGACGTATTTAAAGCTACTTAAAACCAGTTCCCAGAGAGCTGTTGCCCTGGTAGTGTATGGTGTCTTGACCAACTTAATTAACAGCTTTTGTTCAAAATTATTTGATGTAAACCATGGAACTTTGATTTGAATAGTTATAGTTTCATATGAACACTGAAGGTTTTTCTTCAAAAATTAGAAATTTGTTTAGCCAGTACTGTGAAAATACATTTTTTTATGCAGACAAATGTACCCTTTTGATTATTGATATAACCCAAAGTGTCTTACATGCTATTGTGGTGGGTTGACCCTGGCTAGAGGCCAGATGCCCACCAAAGCCCGCTCTATCACTCCCCCTCCTCAGTTGGGCAGGGGGAGAAGATAAGATGGAACACAAGAGAAAAAAACTCGTGGGTTGAGACAAAGGCAGTTTAATAGAAGCAAAGCAAAGCTGTCTTTTTGACGCCCAACGTGGGGCTCGAGACAACAGCAGTTTTACATGTAGCGTGCTTTAGCTGCAGTAGTTATTAAACAGCGAGCTCCTGTGCAGGTCACGGAGCTGGTTTTTTTTTTTTCCCCTGCTCGTAGCATTGCTTATCTCCTTGTTTCTGCTCAGTTTGGGAACATGTTGATAACGGGAACAGCTATGTGCTTCTTGCTGACATTCGTAACTTTGCTGTGCTGGGGGAGCTATTATGTGGGGAGGATGAAGGGACTCGGGAACGTGCTGGTACAAATAGTGACTGTGTGCTTAGTCCTGGCATTGATGGCCTTACTGTGCTGGGGGAGCTATCTTCTGGAGGAGACAAGGGAATACATCTCCCTTTCCCTCCCTGAAGTTAATATAGATGGCTTTATTATTCAGGCTCCCGAGGTCCTTGTTCACCCTTATG